TTGTACACAAATCTGGGGTGCATGTCCCCCCCCATGCCTCCCCTAGGGTTGCACGCAGCGGTGGGAAACTGCCCCCCCCCATACCTTTGGACAAGCCTCCTGCAGCTCTGTCCTATGACTTGCCTTGGCCCTGGGGCCCCAATCACCCTTGCCCCGCCCCAATCTCTCGCTCACCGTGGGGGCCTCAATCTGTGCCCCCCTTCCGTCTCCCCACCACCCCTTTGCTCTACAGACTTGCCTGCTGGGTGTGTGTGTGTTTGCATGCGCATGCGTCTGCCTCTGCCCCTCCTGAGCCACAGCCCCCTCAGCCCTGCTGCTGCCTCTGACTCCTGAACCACAGTACCCTGTATTCTGCCAGGGTGTGCAGGGACCCCCACGTCCCCCATCCCCTGGGCTCCAAACCCCACACACCCCCACAACCCTCCACACCTTCACAAATTCCCCCCCTACACCCCTACCCACCCCCCAACCATACAAAGTACCTGCATAATTTTGTGTAATTTTGAGTTTTTAGCTGTGCAATTAAAATCGTGATTAATAGTGACTATTTTTTTTAATCGTGCTGAAATTTTTAAATCATTTGACAGCCCTATTAATTCATTTTTAAATTAAAGCAAGTAAAGTTGGTGAATGACATGAAGACTGTTTCAATATCATCTTAACTTTTCATTTTTCATGCTTGGGAAATTTACCTTTTGTAAGGGAAGAAATATTGTGCTTGGTGAATTTTGAGTAGCCTCAATGAATTCATTCTTTTTGTTACAAAAAACTTGTAGTTTGCAAAACTTTTTTGTAGTGCCTGCAAAAAGTATAATAATGATTTGGCATTTTCCCCCCTAGGGTTAATGATAGTGATGATCTGGTCATGACAGAGAATGAAGTAGGGAAGATCGCACTAAATATTGAAAAGGAGATGTTTAACCTGTTTCGAGTTACAGACAACCGATATAAGAGTAAATATCGCAGCATCATGTTCAATCTCAAGGATCCAAAAAATCAGGTCTGTGTTCTGGTGAAGTACCAGGTATATACTAAAAAGCATGAAAACTCTTTAACACTAAAAGCATCTTAAAATTTAGTCTGTCAAACTCCCCCTTAATATTCTACATTTTAAGGGAAAAGACTTGTCAACTAAAGCTATTTAAAATGTTTTCACATCTTGACTTAAAATCCTACTTTTATCTTAAAGTGATTCACAAAGTTTTGTCTGTGACCCATTCATTTTTATGTGATTTAAGAATACCATCCTGTCTGTAAATGATATTTGGTAGAAACGTCAAGGGTTTCTGCTTTTATGACACCATATGATACACGTTACATAGTAGATCGGGGTGGGCAAAATGGAGCCCGTGGGCCAGATGCAGCCCGCCAGGCCATTCTATTCAGCCCATGGGGTC